AAGGGTATAATTATAAATATAGGTCCAATTTTCAGTATTTTCGGGAGTTTGAGGTTATTTTTCTATTGAGTAGGCTGCAATTTAGTACTTTGAGTTCCTATTGGAAGGCAAATCTCTCTAAAAAGACTATAAATGTAGGTCAATTTTTTTTGGGTAGTCCACATTTAAAAGTACCCTCAAATTTTTGGTATTTTCATTCCGCCTTCTAAGTATATCGTGATAAAAAAGATCTCGAACATCGTCAGGTTCGAGATGAAATGCATCGGCCAGCATTTAGGCATCTGCCACATATTATTTTATCTCCTGAAGGATAGAACTGAGATACAAAACTAAAATATTGGGTTCGAAATTGGCATATATCGGTCATTAATTAGCCATAGCTCCTCATATAATAATGACCCCACATATTGACTGACTGATAGCTATGAAATCAGTATTGGTTCCCTTTAGGCATAGCCTGCCTGCTATTATATAGTTATATAGCTAGTTACTTGGTGATCTAGTTACTTCATACCCCAAAAAGGAACACAAAATAGACTGTTGGATTTTTTTGTCAATTGAAAAAGCTGTTTACACACATCATACCAATTCAGTAGTTACTGGTAATGCAATGGGTAATGAATCGACTATCGAAATGTCTGTATACTGGTAACGCAGGCAGGGGACAATTGACTTCCCCAATGACATACACATGTTAAATTCACCAGTCTAGGGCATGAAGTGGTAACTAGTGGTACTTACAGGTAATTAGTAAAATATCTAGTTCATCACCAGTTACTCGAACTACTGGGAAGGAATCGAGATAGACACATGGTTCCTTTTGAGAATATGTAGAGTAACTTCGGGTAATGTGGACCACCATTTTCTTTTTTTGATATTGTGGGCGTAACAACGGTAAAAAATAAAAACAAATTGTTTTCACAGCATGGTAGATTTGTTGGCTAATTATATTCCAGGTCAAAAATTATATATATTTGTCCATAAAAATGTTATTGCATTATATTTCAAAAAGCTCTAAACTGCAAATAAAAAAACTTGGCGGGTAATGTGGACCAGTATGTGTGGGTAATGAGGATCAGTAAGTTAAAGGTAGTTTTGGATTAATTGTGATAAATTTCAATTTATTGGACTCATGGGTAACAATGAATGCAAAAATATATGGGTCCATGTTTTGGAATAGCCCCCAATTAAGGGTACCACCCCATTTGCGGTATTTTGAAGGTCCTTGCTTCATTATCCAACCGAGGCACCTATAATTTCGGATATCAAGTTTTCAGAGGATATAATACCTCCTCGCATATTAAATGCGCCCTTGTTTCGAACTCGTCCTCATGAAAATGTCCCACTTTTTTATAGTGGTCCACATTACCCGACATTGAATATTTTTATTTAAAAATAATTATCGGCTTCAAAAATGAATAAAAATTTAAAAATAACCGAAAGTAATTACAGATAAACGTGTATTTTTGTTAAAGAAAACAAGAAAACCACATAACCTCTTTATATTTGAGAAAAACAAAATGTTCGACTATGTTACAAAATCGTTCGACTATTGTGCTAAAAAATTTTCAAGTCACACTTTTAAAATCGGAGCTACATTTTCACCTACTAAATTTTCAACATTGCAATTATTTATTAAAAACCAAGTTTGATGTTTGTTTTCACTAATTAGGAAAACATTTATCAAGGCGGCATTGGCATATTTCAAGCATTTTCTTAGATATGGGGGGTGGTCCACATTTGACGCATGGTCCACATTACCAGAAGTTACTCTATAGAATCACTTTCTGAGTCGATTTACGTATGTCCGTCCGTCCATGTATTTTTGTGAACAAAGTACAGGTCGCACTTATGATCCGATTTGATTGAAATTTGGCACAGGTCACTTATTTGGCCCAAGGCCGAACCCTATTGAAAATGGGAAAAATCGGTTCAGATTTAGATATAGCTCCCATATATCTTTTCCTCCGATTTAATGTAAATGGTCCATCAAAGTCCCTATATATTTGTCGATTTGCACGAAATTTGGCACAGCGAAATGACTGATGTGTGTTATGTTTCCTGAAAATCGGGTCAGATTTAGATATAGCTCCCATATATATTTTCCTCCGATTTAATGTAAATGGTGCACCAAAGTCCCTATATCACCTTCGATGTGCACGAAATTTGGCACCGCGTAACATAGGCCTAAAATGATGTGTTTTAAGTTTCGTGAAAATCGGTTTAGATTTAGATATAGCTCTCATATATTTTCGCCCGATTTAATATAAATGATCCATCAAAGTCCCTTAATATCTTTCGATTTGCACGAATTTGCACAGGTCTAGAATGATGTGTGTTTTGTTTCGTAGAAATCGGTTCAGATTTATATATAGCTCCCATATATATTTTCGTCCGATTTAAGGTAAATGGTGTACCAATGTCCCTGTATATCTACGATTTGCACGAAATTCGGCATAGCGTAATGAATTAGGTTTAGAATGATGTGTGTTAAGTTTCCTGAAATCGTTTCAGATTTCGATGTAGCTTCTATATCTGACCAAATGAAAAATTTAGTATTGGTTGCAGAATGAAATGTTTATGGATCCAATTTAATTTTACTGGTCCTTTAAAAATGCGACGTCTGTCAGTATTCATCTGTTGAATATACCCAAAGTGGTGAAGGGTATAGCCCATTTGCCCATTTTCCCACCGATTTGGCTCTAATTTGCTAGAAAAGGCGCTTGAAGCACTTTTAATGCTTAAATTATTTTCTTTTTCGGAAGTGAAAATTCCGACTGCTCTTTAATGGAATGGTCCTTGGCAGGGACGTACGCAGGGGGCGGCCCTGGGAGCCCGGTATTATAGCTTTGTGCAGCCCCAAGAGTTTGTAACGCCGCGAAATATTGGTCCTAGACCCACCTTTAAGTATACCGATCGTCATATCTCGACTAGCTGAGTTCATCTAGACATGTGGGTCCGTCCGTCCGTCTGTCCATTATAATTTGTAAACACGATACAGGCCACAGTTATGGACCAATCTTCACGAAATTTTTCATGTAGGAAGGGTTCGGCCAATGAAGATCCCTATTGTTTTTGGTAAAGATCGGTTAATATTTAGGTGATGAAATGGACCAAATACATAATTTTTGTATGTTTTTCGGGTCGCTCCAGAGGCCGCAATTATGGCCCAAACATCTCGAGTTTTTTCATGGAGAAGGGGATTGGACCAAAGAATAAGCATGTCTGTTTTGATAAAGATCGGTCAATATTCAGCGGGTCAAATGGACCCTGACTTTTGTGTGAAAAGTTACAAAATTTGTATTCTATAGCGTATATATTTACTCCTGAAGTACATAGAGTCGAGAAGTTGATAGTATATCCAAGATGAGTGGTTGGCCTTTAAATTGATACCAATTATATTGTCGTATGTACTCGGATGTGGGAGTTACACGTAAATATTTACAGGTGCTTACGTATTCAGATATTATTTAATAAACCATTACCACACTAGAGGGCGGAAATATAGCGTTGATCGCTTTGAAATGTTCCATGAGGTTCCAGTTCTGGTCAAGGACAACGCCCATAATTTTCGTTGATGATCAGATAATAATTTTTGGATGAAGTGGACCGAAAACTTATTTTTTTATATTATTATTATTTTTTTTTTTTTTTTTTTACATTAGTAATATTCGGAAAATATGTTTGTGTATGGAAGAGGTGCTATTGACCTCTAATAGGGCAAGAGGGTGCAACTATCACGAAATATTACCAAGGTTCGGAATAAAAATCTGCAGAATGATAGAGTTCTGTGGTAGTTGTGTAGGGTATCATATGGTCGGTCCCGTCCGACTATACTGCTCCGCTCACTGGTTTTAGATGTAAAGGTCCTTATAAAATATTCTAATTTTTAGTTCAGATAGTTTTTTTAAGGATATTCTTTATAAGTACATGGTATGAAATCTTTACAAATCATAAAAGTCCTGTCCCATTCTCTGTATTTTTTTTTTCATCGAAGTGGCCATAATTTGACATTTCGAATTCCTGTGAAAAAACTTCTTTTCTGGAATTATTACTGTTTTGAAATATCACCCATACAAATTTATTTTAATTTAATTTTCGGAATGTTGAAGTTCCTACACCAGATTTTCATTCTGACTGTCTCTAAATGGGAACATTTTTTTCATAAATAACTTTTTGACTTGTTTTGACTTAATTTAAAAATGTCAAAATGCTCTAGTATATTTTAAATTTGTTTCAATAAAATTACGAATAATTTACTTCGAGTCCCATTAGCAACGATGAACCCTAAGGGGCAAACACCTAATCTGTAATACAATCGCAACCAACCACAGTGTAAACAATGATGTTGTTATTGACGTTGTTAAAACAAGTGGTTGTTTCAAAATAAAACAACAAAACTTAGCAATGTTATTTGCAAAATTCTATTCTACATTTTAAAGTGTTAGTTATTAACAAACAAGGCCATGAAAAGCTAACACAAAACTCAATTCCAAACCAATGGCACACATTAATATTATTTTATTATTACCATTATCATTACCTCACACTGATTTTCAAAAATTCATGAAATTAGTTGCTATTACAAATCATGTAAATCGTAAAAATGGTCATAAATATTTCAATTGCACAGCAAAAGTTTCAAATCGCGTGCCACATTTAATAAATCGTTCATTATAAAAAGTTCAAAAAACGAGACAAAGATGAACTAACCTGCACTGATGATATATGGCAATGCAAATACATAATGGTATTAACATTCGTGACCGGATAGCATATATAATAGCGAGAAAATATTTTATGGAGACTTTATTTAATATGACATAGAAATATGGGTGTTAAATGCTAGACCACTTTAATTTAGTGAATTTTTTTTTTTTTTTTTTATTTTTGAGAAAAACTTAGGTATATGAATAAAATTACAGATTTAGTTTAATCATTCCGAAATATTTTATAATTTAATTTCGTTAATTAATAATTCTAATGTTTTTTCCTCACAGGTTGATGATAAATATATACGTACTCATCATGTCTATTCGATCAGTGGTAAAACTCATCGTAGACCACCACCCGAACAAGATTTCGATATTCTTCAGGCTAAACAAAAGAAACAGCAGCAACAACAACATCAACAGCAAAAACACCATTTTGATCAACAACAACAGCAGCAGCTTCAATATTCCCAGCCCCCGTACACCAGCTACCATCCATATCCAATTCCGCATATACCCGATCGTTATGATAAAAGCCGAAGTGGTATAAGTAAGTCAGGAAAATTAAATTAAATCAATTAAAATTAGGGTTTATATTCATAGACGTAAAAAAACATAGATATAGAAAATATGGATTAAAATCGTGGAATCAATATAACTAAGTATAAAACTCCATTAATATTTTCATGAAATTGATCGAAACGGGTACATTACACCTGACGAAAAATATATATGGCTATATCTATAACTGAGCCGATTGCACCATTTACATTAAATCGGACGAAAATATATATGGGAGCTATATCTAAATCTGAACCAATTTTCACGAAACTTAACATACATCATTTTACTTTTAATTCAGTAAGCTATGGAAAATTTCGTGCAAATCGAAAGATACATAGGGACTTTGGTGCACCATTTACAGTAAATCGGACGAAAATATGTATGGGAGCCAGGGACGAAATGAGTTTTTTTCACAGTAAATTTATGTTTGCAATAGCGAATTTTTTCATTTTGTACTGCCGGGCCCCCCCGAAATGAAATCCTGTGTACGTTGCTGATGGGAGCTATATCTAAATCTGAACCGATTTTCACGAAAGTTAGCACACATCATTCTAGGCTCAGTTTAGTACGCTGTGCCAAATATCGTGCAAATCGAAATATATATAGAGACTTTGGTGCACCGTTTACATTGTATCGGACGAAAATATATATGCGAGCTATATCTAAATATGAACCGATTTTTCCCAATTTCAGTAGGGTTCGTCCTTGGCCCATATAAATGAGCTGTGCAAATTTCTTCCAATTCGGATCATAAATGAAAGACGGACGAACGGACGGACATGCATAAATCGACGTAGAAAGTGATTCTATGCATATTCTCAAAAGGAGTCATGTGCCTATCTCGTTTCCTTCTACTTGTTACAAACATATGCAGAAAGACATAATACCCTGTACCACAGTGTGGTGAAGGGTATAAAAAATACAGAATAAAGGGCGTTCCGCTAAAAAGAGCTATTCCGTAACATGAACCAATATTGATATCTTATCCAATGTGAATCTAAAATACAAAAGTGGGGTATCGTTATATGGGGGCTATACTAAAAGTCAAAAACCTTAAAAATGGGGACTATTTTTTAGATTTAGCTCAAAAAATATACCTTAAAACTATCGGTGTTTTGAAGATTTTGGCCGTTATTTTTATTTATACAAGGAGACAAGGAAATGTGTTCAGCGAAAAAACATGGTTCTTTTGATGATAATCGATCAATATTTCGCTGGGCAAACGGACCGACACTATTGCGTGAAAAGTGACAACATTTGCTTATTATGGTTGGAAGACCTGACCCGGAAAAGTTTTCATTGTAAATGGTGACATTAAGTTATTTGATTAAAGGGGACGAATATGGGACATATACAATATTTGTAAAAGGGTCTACATTTTATTATATAGTTTTTACCACATAAATATTTCGAAATTGTTCCGGATTCGAAATTTAGCACTGCAATGAGTTCGGTCCTAATATAATGATCTCCTCATAGGTTTCTGTTTGAATTGTCTGTAGTTTCATCTTGTGGATATCAATTGAGTAGCAACAACTGGAGTCGGAGACTAAGTTGATATACTATATATATACTTCATCAGAATCTAGCCATGGCCTTCTGAAATATTGATTGTCCGTCCGTCAGTAGTCTGTCCGTCCATGATAAATTGTAAACCATGTAAATAAGCTGTGTCAAATTTCATCAAATTCGGATCATAAATGCGACCTGTACATATTTATGATCCGAATTGGATGAAATTTGACACAGCCCAAGGACGGACCATATTGAAATTGGGGGAAATCGGTTCAGATTTAGATATAGCACCCTTATATTTGTTCGTCCGATTTAATGTAAGTGTGCACCAAAGTCCCTATATATTTTTCGATTTTCACTAAATTTGGCTTAGTGCACTGAATTAAGTTTATAATGATGTGTGTTAATTGGTTGAGATAGCTCCCATATATATTTTCGTCGGAATTAATGTTAGGGGAGCTCCAAAGCTCCTACATTTTTTTTGATTTGTCATAGCTTACTGATTTAATTCAAAAATGATGTATGTTAAGTTTCGTGAAAATCAGTACAGATGTAGATATGAAATGAAATTCCGCATAGATTGTAGACAGGCATGGGTATGAATTGAGGTTAGCTGGTTCGCTTTTATATAACGATCACATATTTAATTTCGTTCAATTTCATGTTCCTTGTAAAAGGCGACGTCTGATAGGATTCATATGTAAAAAATAGCCATAGTGGTGAAGGGTACCATATAGTCGGATAAGTCTGACTTTATTAGATTCCTTACTGATTTAACATTCAGATTTGTGGTGTGTAAGAAACATTTTCCAAAATGTTCGATATGCCGTCGTTTGCATTTTCGGTATGTATTTCCTAGGCTCAAGAGGGTTCGTCTTGGGCCCCATTAAATGAACCGTGCCAAATATAGTTACAATTCCCTAATACATGTGATATGTACTTTTTTAACAATGTAAATCGACTCAGAAAGTATATCACCAATCGAACTTGGGGGTCTATATTGTTTCCTTCTTATTGTTAAAAGCAAATTTACAAAAAAAAAAAATCAGAAATCTTGTGTTAAGTAGGTCATCATCACTGCAAATTTATCCAGTGAGAGGAGCAGTATAGTCAAACGGGGCCGACCATATGATACCCTACACAACTTCCAATAAAATCTTACTTTCTGGTGTCCTAATATTCTGTCTAACATTCTGGTGTCCTGAGCTTGGGCAATATTTCGCTATATTTGCACCCTCTTGACCGACTAGAGGTAAATAAATAAATATTACTAATATTCAGTACAGACCTTCTAATTACTTGGCCCTTCCCTTCACCGTCGGTTGTGTTGTGATGTTCGGCTTTCAATTGTGGCCTATACATCGACTCGAAAACACTAAAAATTGAGTTTTCGGTCTAGTTCATACCGCAATTATTATCTGATCATCACCGAAAATTATAGGCGTTGTCCTTGACCATACATGGTCATTGAAAATTTCAATATATATTTCCGCTGTCTAGTGTGGTAATGGTTACTAAATAATATCTGAATACGTAAGCACCTGAAAATATTTACGTATAACTCCCACATCCGAGTACATACGACAATATAATTGGTATCTTGGATATACTGTGAACTTCTCGGCTCTATGTTCTTTAGGAGTAAATATATACGCTGTAGCATACAATTTTTGTAATTGTTCACACAAAAGTCAGGGTCCATTTGTCCCGCTAAATATTGACCGATCTTTTTCAAAACAGGCATGCTTATTATTTGGACCGATCCGCTTCACCATGTAAAAATTCGCGATGTTCGGGCCGTAATTGCGGCCTCTGGAGCGACCAGAAAAACCGACCAAAAATTTAGTATTTGGTACATTTCATCCCCTAAATAGTAACCGATATTTACCAAAAACAATAGGGGTCTTCATTGGGCCGAACCCATCATACATGCAAAATTTCGTGAAGATTGGTCCATAACTGTGGCCTGTATCGTGTTCACAATTTATAATGGACAGACGGACGGACACACATGTCTAGATCGACTCAGCTAGTCGAGATATGACGATCGGTATACTTAAAGGTGGGTCTTGGACCAATATTTCGCGGCGGGGCTGCGCAAAGCCATAATACCCTGACAAAGTAGTTGTGTAGGGTATAATTGTCTTGTTGTTATGCTCTCCTTACCTTCCACTTCGTCATGGTTTCAGCTACATTGCCTTTGCTTTTGAAAACAATGAACAGAATTTTGTCATACATTTTGCAAGAGATTAAACACGATGTCAATCGAAATCCATATTTGCATAAATAGTTCCTGATTTAACCTTACTTTCAATCAAAAAAATCTACTTGAAATGATTTCCCTATATTTAAATCCGCAGTAAATATCTTAAAATCTGCAAAATCATTTTTGGAGCCTCCATTGATTCTTAGCATTCTATATCACAATTGTACATTTTGTTAAGAAATCCCCTATGGATTTGAGACGGAAATAATCGTCTTTACTTGCACCGAAAAAAAAAACAAAGCAAAACTAAATGCAAGGAAATAAGAAGAACAACAATAACAACAGACACTATAAACCATCATTGATACGCACAGCACAGATGATGTACATTGTAAGTAGGAAGAAATAAAAGTTTTTCGTTTTTTCAAGACTTTCAAACAATAAAACTATAGATTTAGATCCGACAAATCTAAATTCATTGAAATGTAGTTTATCTCAATTTCTATTCGCAGCCCACAGCACTCACACACACTGCTACCCTGACCTATCATTTTTAAATGCCACACTGCTCTGTGTGTGTGGGTGGGGGGGAGGGAGGGGAGTTTACGTGTGTGTGCATTTGATATCTACCCATATCAGGCTGCTGTTCATGTCCTTGGATCTTATTCTTCGTCTTCTTCTTCTTCTGGTGTTTCTTAAATGCGTTTCTATGACATGGAATTGTTCTTTGAATAGTTGGTGTCTGCAACAATAAACTAACAGCTAGTCATTCTACCAACAACAATCAGCTGAGACAGGCTGGTAGGCAAGCAGGGAGCAAAGCAAGCAACCATCTAGTCAACCAGCCAGCATGATATTTATCCTCGAACAATAAATGCAGTTCAGCTCAATGCAATTGTTCGGTAAATATTCTATTAAAACATACAGTTTTTCTGGTCGTTTTTTTTTCTTTTCTGTATTATTGTATATTGAGTTTTCCTTTTCTTCTATCTTCACAAAGATATATGTCTTCAGTTTTTTTCTTTTAAATAAAAGAAAAATGGAAAAAATAAACTCTTGAAAAAGATGTCAGCACAATATGGTGCATCATTGGAAATTCAATTGTTGCTGTATATAAAGAAAATAGTATATATTTTATTTATTTTAAATTCGTTGAATAAAACTAGATTTGGGATTGGCAAACAGTTAAACAATTATAATTATTATTATTACTATTATTATTTGGTTGTTGAATCTAATCCAAACCTGGAACCCATCGGTTTATAGTCTGGCACACTATCCATCTGCCCACTTCTACACTAAATTTTCAAAATTTTAAATATAATATCATGCGGCTGCGACTGTGTCTTTTTTTCATTGCACCCCTTCCAATCATTTTTACAACCTTCACCACAATGTGGTACAGAGTTTTATTTCTTTAGGCATAGACCCATGGTTCCATTTTAGAATATGCATACAACCACTTTCTGAGTCGATTTATGCATGTCCGATTGTCCACCTGTTTATGTTAAATTATAAGCAAAGACCAGGTCACTTATTTGGTCCAAGGATGAACCCCATTGTGATAATCGGTTCAGATTTAGATATAATTCCCACGGAATTTCGTATAGCGTACTGAATCGAGTCTAGAATGATTTGTGCTAAGTTTCGTGAAAATCGGTTCAGACTTAGATATAGCTCCCATATGTATTTTCGTCCCAATTAATGTCAATGGTGTTCCCTACATATCTTTAGATTTGCAAAAAATATGGCATATCGTATTGAAATAAATATAGATTGACGTGTATTAAGTTTTGTCAATATCGGTTCAAATTTAGATATAGCTCCCATATATATTTTCGTCCGATTTAATGTAAATTGACACACCATTTTCTACAATGTACTGTAGTTAATTTAAATTAATATCTGGTAAATGACGTTGAAATCGGTTGAGATTTAGATATAGCTTTCCGATATTAGGTAAATGGAAATATTATTATTTTCGTCCGATATTAGGTAAATGGAAACTTTTCACAACGTATCAAATTGAGGCTAAACTGGGAAACAGTGCGGCATACCGAACAGTGTATATCCAGTTTGCTTTAAGGGGACCCCCCATTCTCGGGGTCAAAAATTTTGTTGATATAATTCGAATCTACACTAATTATAGAATGTACCTACAAAATTTCAAATGAAAATCTCAAGAACTCTTGAAGATATAGCCGATTTATTGTGTCAGCATCAAGTGACGGCTAAAGGGCTTCTCAAACTTTAAACGCGTTTTTCTCTAAACATTTTTTTGCAAATGGCGGGCACGATAACTCAAAAACTAATAACCCAATCGATTTCAAATTTTTACACGTTTCTCTGTGAGTGTATAGCTATCGTATGAACTAGGATAAAGCCAATCGGTGAAGATCTTCCTTATTTTTTAAATTGGTTTTTGGTAAAAAATCGGCGATTTTCCAAAAATATTTTTTCAAAGGTCCGCCATTTTGTTAATTTTAGAGCGAAGTCAATAATCCTAGTTCATACGAGAGCCAGACATGTACTCTTTCTAATACAGTTGGAATTTTCGGATTCCGATGTTCCAGTGAGGAGTTCTCGTGCCCGCCATCAAAAATAACGACTTTTCTTTAATTACAAAAAACAACAACAAAACAACAACAACATTTTTTTGTAAATTATTTTTCTTCTATTTTAAATCTTCAAATATATATGTGCAAAGTTACAAACCTTAACAAGCATTGGTATTGATTTACCAGCCCACTGAAAATCTTGAAAAATTAAAATCGAAATGGGAGGGGGGTTCCCTTATATTGATTAGACCCATTCATTATTTTTCTCTTCTTTCCTTGCGATCTAGACCAAGAACCGCATATCACGAAATTCTACCTGGAAATGGTAGTCTGCTCAACCAATAAAGGTAGCTATTTTCGAAATTGAACACCGACAAGGAGATCTGTTTAGCGAAAAAAAACATGGTTCTTTTGATGATAATCGATCAATATTTCGCTGGGCAAACGGACCGACACTATTGCGTGAAAAGTGACAACATTTGCTTATTATGGTGGGAAGACCTGACATGGAAAAATTTTCATTTTAAATGGTGATATTAAATTATTTGATTAAAGGGGACGAATATGGGACATATACAATATTTGTAAAAGGGTCTACATTTTATTATATGGTTTTTACCACATAAATATTTCGAAATGGTTCCGGATTCAAAATTTAGCATTAGACCCATTCTACACAAACGACTCTAAATCAGTCCAAATGAAATGAAATTTAGCATAGGATGCGGAGACTCATGTGTATGGATTGATGTCAATCGGTTCACTTATAGATATTCAAATTCGTTCAATTTCATGTTGGGATACATATGTAGAATTTACTCAAAGTGAAGTATCATATAGTCGGCCCAGTCCGACTTTGCTGCTTTACTTACTGTTATTTTTAAACCCTTCACCACACTGTGGTACAGGGTACTATGTGCATAATCTTGTAACAGGCAAAAGGAAACGAGATAGACGCATGGTTCCTTTTGAAAATATGCACAGAATCACTTTCTAAGTCGATTTATGCATGTCCGTCCATCTGTCTGTCTGCCCATGTTAAATTGTAAACAAAGTACGTGTCGCATTTATTATTCCAATTGGATGAAATGTGGCACAGCTAATTCATTTGGCCCAAGGACGAACCCAATTGAAATTGGGGAAAATCGGTTCAGATATAGATATAGCTCCCATATATATTTTCGTCCGATTTAAGGTAAACGGTACACCAAAGTCCCTATATACCTCCCTATTTGCACGAAATTTGGCACAGCGTACTGAATTGAGTCTATAATGATGTGTGATAAGTTTAGCAAAAAATAGGTTCAGATTTAAATATAGTTCCCGTATATATTTTCGTTCGATTTAATGTAAATGGTGCACCAAAGTCCCTAAACATCTTTCGATTTGCACGAAATTTTGTATGAATACTGAATTAAGTGTAGAATGAACTGAACTAGGTCTAGAATGATTTGTGTTAAGTTTCCTGAAAATCGGTTCAGATTTGGATATAGCTCCCATATATATTTTCGTCCGATTTAAGGTAAATGGTGTACCAAATTCCCTATATATCTTTCGATTTGGACGAAATTTGGCATAGCGTACTGAATTGAGTCTAGAATGATGTATGTTAAGTTTCGTGAAAATCGGTTCAGATTTCGATATAGCTCCCATATATATTTTCGTCCGATTTAAGGTAAACGGTGCACCGAAGTCCCTAAATAGCTTCGATTTGCACGAAATTTGGAACAGCGTACTGAATAAAAAGCAGAATGATGTGTGTTAAATTTCGTTAAAATCGGTTCAGATTTTTATATAGCTCCCATATATATGTTCGACCGATTTAATGTAAAAGGTGTACCAAAGTCCCTATATATCATTCGATTTCCACGAAATTTGGCAAAGCGTACTGACTTGAGCCTAGAATGATGTGTGTAAAATTTCTTGAAAATCGGTTTAGATTTAGACAAAACTCCCATTTATATGTTCGAACGATTTAATATAAATTGTGTACCAAAGTATATCTTTCGATTTGGTCGAAATTTGACAGAGCGCACGTACGTGTGTCAAGTGTTTTTGGAATCCGTCCATGTTTAGATATAGCTCCCATATAGTTTCGTCCGATTGTAAGTAGGACCCAAGGGCCAACAAAATGTGTATAAATTAGTCTAAATCATATTTGGATATAGCTTCCATATCTATTTTCATCCGATTTTAAGTAAATGGTGCACCGAACTGTTTATTTTTTTCAGAATTGAATGGCGTAGAAGTACAGATGTTTCCCACATATATTTACGACCGACTTCGTCTTAATTGTTCATATTTAATGGGTGCTCGATTGATATTTGCTTTAATCGATTGATCTAATTCGATTCACATTTAGATAAAGGTCACATATGTTAGTTCATCCAATTTCATGTTAATGACCCTTCTGTTATGGTGCATCTATTTGATATATTCAAAGTGGTGAAGGGTATTATATAGTCGGCCCGGTCCGATTTTACCACATTCCTTACTGGTGTTTTATTTTTGCGAATATAGCTCCAATATATACTCCAATATGTGGACAGTCTTTCTCATAATTTCCATTTAATCTTTAAAATTTTTTCAAATCTTTCTATTAAATTAATTCATTCGTTGTTTTTCATTTCCAATGACCTCAATTCCTTTATCGATACTGGGAACGAGGAATGAAAAAATAAATACCAGAAATTTGTTTTATTGTATTAAACGAATGACTTTTTCCTGGAAATATCATGTTGTTCGCCTTTGAACTCACACGAGTCCAGAAGGCCGAATAAAGACTAGCATAGAAATGTCACACATCAGATTGACCTGTTGTTTCCAAGAAAATGTATTGAAGGAAATAACAATGTGTGAGTGTCCAGCAATAAAAGATTTCTCTTTTAGCTGTGTATTTTTACAAGAAAAATTGTCGTATAATTACATTGGCAAACAATGTACGTATGCAGTTTATATAGATAGACAATACGGTCTGGAGTATAGGAGGTTGCGATTTGGTTTTATTTACATTTTATGAACGCATGAAATAAGCGTAGTTACGATTTTTCGTATGATAAAAGACACTGACATCGTAGACATCATTATGAAGGATGTATATAATTCCTTCCACATCACGCCATATAAATAAATTTCAATTCTTCGAAATACCATTTAATTAATTTTATCGTTGGTAATTTCTTTTTAAAGTGTTTTTTAATTCCTTTTCTTTATCTTCCTCTTCTTTACTTTGACTTTCTGCTAACATCCATATCCACATGGTGTGTGCTCTATTGACTTGGATGCCGCTAAAACACAAAGGTCATCACATCCGTGGCATATCCATTTACAACAATCCCTTCAGTCCTCTGGTCGTAATGCATGACATCGATCTCGACGATTACGAGATTCAACAGCAGCATCACACGAACAGCCACTATGACAATAAACATCACATCGAAGTGATGAAAAAACATTTTGACGGCAAAAAACACAGGTGAGTTAATAAATCTTTATTGTTGTAGTTGTTATTGTTAAGTCTTCTTATTAGTGTTGCTGACCCATCAAGCACACCCACACACACGAATAGTGATTACAAAGAATCAAAATCACATACTCCCCCCTGTATTTATGTGATGCTGTAAATTGGATACATAGATAAAATATATTTTTAATTTAACGTTGTTGCTTTGTGTGTGGAATTTTACGACACGTTGATATGTGTTCATTTAAGTGGATTAATTTTATACTGACTCAAGACGGAAAGAATTTTAAGGAAAACAATATTGGTTTTATATTGCAAAATTGCGGAAATTGTTCTATTTGGAAAATGAGATTTTAAATTTTAAATTAAAATTTCAGATGGAGATTGAATAAGTTTTAAAAGGTCCTCCACAAAAAATTGAATTATTTTTCGTTGAATAAACAATAATGTGGTAAACTTAATGGAATTCTTGAACGATTAAATTTTAGAAAAATAAAAATAATATATATAAAAAAGTGTTTTCAAAAAATGTAAATAAGTTTCAAAAAATTAATTTATACGTTGTCCTTGTTTGGTTCTCCGATGGTATATATGGTCTTGATCATCAGAAAATTCTATGTTGATGTTGTCATGTCCATCTTACTATTGTAATTAATGTAGTATCGACACTAATAGAGATTAATAGTCAAAATATTGTAGCCACTCGCCTTTTATTTGGAGATAGGTTAAATTCAAGGTTTGAAAATGTTTGCATTAATCCTACATGCAGTGGAAGTACTATACAATTGAAGTATTTGTAGATGGTAGCCTAGTTATCAAATTTTACAGATATATTGTCACTGCACCGGTTTCTCTGTCTAGTTAGTTTCAAGCAATATAGCTCCATACTTACGTATGAAACCAAAAAGTACAAAATTCGGACGGGGTCGGCTATATGATGCCCTTCACCACTTTGGGTACATAAAAGAGGTGGATGTACTAATAGATTTCTCGTAAAGTATCTATCAAATAATTTCAGATTTATCCTCGTTGGAAGGGTGACATTTCGCAGTAAAAAATTATTTTGCTGTTTTTTTTTTTTTTTTTTTTTTTTTGTTTTTGGTGCATTCGGTTGTGAGTTACAGGGTGTTAAAAGTTGATGTGAACAAGTTTTTCTTTGACAAAGGCGAAAATGCCTGCCAAGTGGCAAAAATTTTGAATGGTGTTTAAGGTTCCGATATTGTAACAGCTAATTATGTACAATTTTGCTTTCGTAGATTCGGTTCAGGAATTTTTAATGTTAGCAGTCCTAACATCGCCCAGGAGCTAAAAATCGACCATAATTGTTTTAAACCATTTACACTAAAACTAATACTTACAATATCCTACAGATAGAGCAGACATAGCATCTTTGGAGGACCATTGAGATGGAATCAGGCGATTCCATCTCAATGTTCTACAGTTGCATACACCATTTGATTTTTGCAACTTTAATACACATCACTATAAACTCAATTTAATACCCTCTGCCACATTTCATTGCATTCGCTATGCAAACTTTTGTTCAATTGGACAAATATTGGGAGTTTGGTGCATCATTTGCATGAAATCGGACGAAACTATATATGGGAGCTATATCTGAATATATAACGTTATTAACAGAACTTTGCATACCACAACTTTGCATACATCAACCTGGACCTAAATCTGTGCGTTGTGCAAAACTGTGTCCCAATCGGACAAATATTGGGAGATTGGTGCACTATTCAGATAAAATCGGACGAAAATATATGGGAGCTATATCTACATCTGAACCAATTTCCTGCAATTTCAATAGGGTTCGTCCTTGGACCCACTAAGTGCCAAATTTCATCAATTCGGATCATAAATGCGACCTGAACTTTGTTTACAATTTAACATGGACAGATGGACAAACACTTACTTAAAAAATGATTCTATGCATATTTTGAATTAGAACCATATGTCTATTTCGTTTACTTTTGTCTGTTACAAACATATGCACAAAGACATAATACCCTGTACCACAGTGTGAGGAAGAGTATAAAAAGGTGGTTATATGGGGTGGGGAAATTTGTTACGATATACGACTACAAAATACCAAATTACAGCGAATACCGAAAATGGGTGCTACCCGAAAAAATTGACCTATCATTATAGTTTGTAGTAGAGAGATTTGCTACCCAAAAAGAATCCAAAGTACTAAATTAAAGCCAATTCGGTCAAAAATGCGATCGAAACACCCAAGAACCCTAAAATACCGAGAATTGGGGTGTACCCTTATATGGGGGCTATGCCTAAACGGGGACCGATATAGCCCAACTACAAACTTGACCTGCCTGCAGATAAAATGCGACTCTATGCAAAATGTTGCACATCTATCTCAATTAGTGTAGAAGGGAGAGTGATTACAACCAGTGTTGCCAATTTAGCACTTTTAGTGCTAGATTTAGCACTTTTAAAACTCGTTTAGCACAAAAAAAAAAAAAAAAAATGATCTAGCACCTAGCACCTTTTTTAGCATTTTTATTTTTTTCTGGAATTATTTAAAATTTTGGGTCTTATTTCGATTTCACATTGACGCTTTAAAATGTCCCTATGTTTCATGCTATGATTTTAATTTTCCAATGTTAAAAAAAGTGCCAGTACATTTGTAATTAAGTATTAAAGTTCGGACTGTCAGAACTGTTTGAACCCTGCACTATGTGGAGTGTATTAAATTTCATATGATACCCTACACAACTTCCACGAAAATCAAACTTTCTGTGGTTCTATATATTCTGTGCTTGGGCAATATTTCACGATATTTGCACCCTCTTGACCGACTAGATGTCAACAAATATTTCTGATAGACACCCCTTGTCAGATACTCTTTATCGTGGGTTATGTTGTGATGTTGGGCTTTTTATTGTGGCCTATAGATCGACTCCAAAACAAAAACAAAAAAAAAAAAAGTTTTCGGTCCACTTCATCCCAAAATTATTATCTGATCATCACCGAAAATTACAGGCGTTTTCGTTGACCATATCGGGAATCTCATGGAAAATTACAAAGCGATCAACGCTATATTTCCGTCCTCTAGTGTGTTAATGGGTTACTAAATAATATATAAATACGTAAGCCCTGTAAATATGTACGTGTAACTCCCACATCCGAGTACATACGACAATATAATTGGTATCAATTTAAAGGTCAACCACTCCTCTTCGATACACTATCAACTTCTCGGGTCTATATCCTTCAGGAGTAAACACAAAAACCAGGGTCCATTTGACCCGCTAAATATTGACCGATATTCATCAAAACAGGCACGCTTATTCTTTGGCTCAATCCCTTCTCCATGCAAAAATTCGCGGTGTTTGGGCCATAATTGCGGCCTCTGCAGCGACCAGAAAAAGCGGCAAAAATAAAGTTTTTGGTCCCCTAAATATTAACCGATCTTTTCCAAAAACAATAGGGGTCTGTATTGGCCAGAACCCATCCTACATGCAAAATTTCGCGAAGATTGGTCCATAACTGTGGCCTGTATCGTGTTTACAAATTATAATGGACAGACGGACGGACGGACACACATGTCTAGATCGACTCAGCTAGTCGAGATATGACGATCGGTATACTTAAAGATGGGTCTAGGACCAATATTTCGCGGCGTTACAAACTCTTATTGCTGCACAAAGCTATAATACCCTGACAACATAGTTGTGTAGGGTATAATAAATGTAATAATGGAGAAAAACTAAAAGAGAAAACAAATCACTGGAAATATATATATATATATATATTACATCAAACTAAAATATTGTTTGCATTTCCTCACCATTTCCTTTTAGAATATATCTCTTTAAGTGTACATAGTGTCTCAATTTATTTTATGTTTAACATTTTTTTCCATAAAACAAAGTATGTATATTGCGATCTCTGCCAATTATCTTTCCAATTATCTACCTCATTGTGGAAAGATTTTCATAAAAAAACGGTGTAATAGTGCGTATTTGTAAAGAATTTTTCGCATGAAAATATCTGTTTAATCAATATTTAAATATGCAATTACATCAGATTTACCAAATAACTCAAACAAAATTAATTAACATAATAATCAAGTAAAAAAGAAAAACATTGTTTAACATAGAACGGAAATATTGTTTGCATTTCCTCGTCATTTCCCTTTTGAAATATACCCCTTCACATGTTATTTAATGCGTCGATTTATTTTCTTTTCAACTGTTTTCGCCATAAAGAAAACTTACAACAACAAGATGTAATGTTATTGGCATTGGCATACTCACATCGTTCGTTGTACGTGAATTATTTATTGCACATTCATGAAAAATTCATACAAACTTGGTATGTTCCATGACCTGAAGGAAAGGTATATATGTGTGTATGAAGAAGAAGAAAATAAGATGCGAACCGCGTTTTTTTTTTTTTTTTGGTTAAGGCGTATCTTTTACGTGGAAATTTTCACTGACGTTGAACATAACACACATAGGACCGTTTTCAAAATTTTATGTGTGTTTTTTCTTTTTAATTTAAAATTAGTTTTCATGTTATTAAACAGGAAGTTTTTAGTAGTGGTTAATAGTTTACTACAAAGAATGCCACATAAACTAAATTTTATTTTTACAAAATTTAAAGTTTTGGTTTTAAAATAAATTACAAATAAAAATTGCATTTTCAACAATTGCCATTAATTGCCTTGGATTTAAGATCAAAAAAAAATTTTATTGACTCGATGCAAATTAATTTGCCATCCTTCCGCACATAACTTTTTACATTGAAAATCCAACCGGGGAAAATCAATTCTCTTGCCACTAATGCCCAGGCAACCGAGCACTCGCGCGCACACCCATACATACCCACACAATCATAGTCATGCAACAGAAATTGTGCAATATTATTTTCCGGTAAAATTGCACAATTCCAATTGAAATAATGAATCTCATCCTCATTAAATTTACATACCGACACTTTAGCACCCCCACCAGCACACCCATATACACACACACACTCACACAAATTC